GGGGGCGGCGGCGCGCCTGGCGTGCCGCGAGCTCGCGGCGCCCGCGCGGGGCGCAGCCCTGCGGGGCGTGGCGGCGGTGTGCGGCGCGGCGCTGGTCGCCGCTGAGGTGGGGCCCGCCCTGCTGGTAGCGCGCCAGCGCGCGGTGGCGCGGCAGGTGCTGCGCAGCTTCCCGCTCGAGGAGCACCTCAGCGCCGCCTGCGGCGATGACGATGACGAGTACGCAGCGCAGGGCCCCAGCGGTGGCAAGGGCGGGGACCAGCAGCAGGGCGGCGACGGCCCGGACGCGGGGACGCCGGCGATCATCGTGCGCCGCGGGCCCAAGCCCGACGGCAACCTGGATGGAGGTGAGGGGGCGCAGGCCCAGCCCGAGCCTGCGCGCACGGCCAGCAGCGGCCGCCGCGCCGCCGCGCCCGGCGGCCCCTGCTCGCGCCCGCAGCGCGCACTCGGGTGGGCCAAGGCGGCCCTGGCGCGCGGCTTTGGCCTCTGCGGGCGCGCGTGAAGCGCACACTGCTTCATGTGGGGGTTGGTCGGGTGATGTCTGGCCTGCTGCACCCACGTACCAGCAGCCAGTATGTTCAGGACTAGCACTGCCTCTTGCCTGCCTGGTGCCGCCTGTCACATGGTTGGCCATGCTTTGCTTGCGTTTGTCAGTTTCTCAGGGCAGGTGCCGCGGGAATAAACATCGGCACTCCATTAGGTCGATGCACATGCACACTGTATGCATTTCACTGTGGTGCGCAGCAGGCTGTTTCAGCCGTATCCATGCCACCCATGTGTGCAAATGTTGCCGGGTACATGTGCACTTGCAATGCATGCGAGCACTGCGGCCCGGTGTGCTGCGGCTGTGTGAGCCGCTGAAACGAATGCACACTGGGCCTCAGGAGCCGCATGTGAAGCATTCTGTTCCTTTTTCGGGGCTGGAATCTAGGAGGGGGGGCTTGTGTATGCACCGACGCTCAGTGCACGGCGGCGGGGTGTTTCACCCGTGCAAGCCGTCATGCTCTTGGGTGCCGGTTGCATCACAGCGCCCTGCCCAGATTTCACGCCCACCAGTGTGTGGCCCAACCTCAGGGACTGCACACTTTCAGGACTTCTCGCCGCTTCCCAGACGCTCCTTTTTCCAACACCCTTGGCTGTGCTGGAACAACAGCGCCCCTTTGACCGCCTTCAGTCTCGCCCTGCACCTGATGGCGACTCATGCGCCCATCAGCATACACGTGTGGCCCAACCTCAGGGACTGCACGCTTTCAAAACTTCTCGCGGCCACCCAGACGCTCTTTTATCAACACCCTTTGCTGTGCTGGACCAGCAGCGCCCCGTTGACCGCCTTCAGTCGTGCCCTGCACCTGATGGCGAGTCATGCACCCATCAGCATACACGTGTGGCCCAACCTCAGGGATCGCATGCTTCCAAAACTTCTCGCGGCCACCCAGACGCTCTTTTATCAACACCCTTTGCTGTGCTGGACCAGCAGCGCCCCCTTCTGCCTTGAGTCGTGCCCCTGCGCCTAGTGCCGGCTGCTTCACCCACCGGCAGGCAAGCTGTGCAGAACAGCTTGGCATCTGATGCATGCCGCAATGCATGACTGCATGTGTGTGTGTGTGTGTGTGTGTGTGTGTGTGTGTGTGTGTGTGTGTGTGATCTCTCAAGTTGACTTCTTTCCAGGGTCATCTTGGCATTCTCAGAGACCTCCGAACCCTTGGGTAAAACCACTCCAGCAGTATCAAATGCGACTGTAGGGCCCCGCACCGGCAACTGGCAGCACCCCTGACCCAGCAATCTGCGGGACACATGTGACGTGACGGGGCTGAGCTGGGGTGGAGCAGTCGGTCTGTCTCCAGATAGACTGTATGTGTGGTGGCCAGAGCGCAACACCTATATCACTTTCCAATCCTGCTGGAGAAGCTCATTTACATACAGTACTGGTGCGCAATGTGCAGCGTATGTGTGGTCTCCAGGACAAGCTTATCCACTCCTCTGGTTTGAGCCCGGCGATGGCTGCGCATGCATAGAATGCGTTTGCTGGTCACAAGGGCAGGCGACATCCACAATAAAGACGCCGTTTGCTGATGCATGCAGCATAGGGCGATGCCCGCTTGATAGAGATTTGCTGCTCAAAGTGCAGAACCACGCGCCGCGGGCAGCGTGGGGCCCTCACACCTTGGCCACCCTCTCCGCCGCTGCGGCAAACGCCGCAAACCCCGTGACCCTCTCCGCCCACGACGCGGGCGGCCCGCCGTACGCGGCGCCCAGCAGCGCGCCCAGGTAGCACGCGCGGCTGGCGTTGTCCCCGCCGGCCACCAGGTTGGCGCGAACGCCGTCCTCGTAGCTGGTCGCGCGCTGCGCGGCCACGAGCGCGTTCTGGAGGGCCCCAGGCATCGCACACGAGCTGCCAAAGCCCGCAACAACCTCGGCAAAGGGCGCGGGCGACGCTGCGGCGTCCGCTGCTTTGGCGATGGCGTCGCGCGCCGCGGCGGGGACTTCGGGTGCGGCGCGCGCCCAGTTGATGGCCTGAGAGATGGTGGTGGGTTTGGTGTGTGTGTGAGTTGTGTTTGTGTACATGTGTGTGTTCAAGGGAGAGTGTATGTAAAAGTGTGCGAGTCCATGTGCGTGCGTGCGTGCATATATGCGTATGCATGTGTGTATGTGTGTGGGGGGGGCAGGCGCACCGAGCAGCTCAGGATCGTCCACATAATGGCCACTCATCACAAGGAGTAAGCATTGTGCTGGAGCCCCGGCTGTTGCCCGACATGAGAGCAACCCCTGATGCCGGTCCTGTGGGATCCATTGCAATCGGCACGATGGGCTGCTGTAAACCAAGCTCCTGACCGAACCACTATTGACGCCGAAACCTGCGGCACCCCCCTTCTGCTTTGCCCGCTCACCTCGGCCACGCTGCTGCCCTGCACCACGCGCTCCAGGATGCGCGCCGCCGCCAGCCCATACTGCACCGCTGTTTCGCTGCTCTGCTGTGCCCGCACCGCCGCCTCGGCGGCGGCGGGCAGCTCCGGGCTGCCCGCGAAGCGCGCCACCACCACGGGCACCTGAGGGGGTTGGAAGACAGTACGAGGAGGGGCAGTGCTTGCGGGTGTGAGAGGACGTTGAGGGGTGCGCTCCCGTGATGATGCAAGCTCCATAAGACATGCTTCACCTACTTATCCAGGGCCGGCAGCCTCAAGTTTCGCACCTTAACGGGCGCCTACAGCCAACACATGATGATGAAATGTTTACCGTATCCTGCATGCTCTGAAAACCCTCAGCTTGCACATGCCCAACCCTTGAGAAGGTGAGTTTTTGTGCATACCTTGCACAGCATGTTGGCCTGGGTGTCCGCGTCGTCCCCGACATCCGGGTATGACTTGCCGGCCTCAAGGTTGGCTATGAGCGTCTTGATGCTCTTGTTGCGGTAGCCTGAAAGGGATGTGGGTGTTTGCACCCGCAACGATGCGGGCAGCAGCAAGGCGTCAGGCACAACTGCCAGGCAGCAGTTTGGGGGGGGAGGCTGGGGAACAAGGTCAAGTCGCATGGTGCCTGCGCAGCGGCGCCGGCCCGAGCAGCACCCCTCTTTGTCGCCCACCTGGGTAGGTGTCCAAAAAGTAGGACGCGAGGGCCTTGGCCCAGGAGGCGCCCTCCAGCCCCTGCTTGCCCTGCTTGTCAGCATACTGCAGCAGCGCCGCCACCTCAGCGCCGTACGGGCTCAGAGCGCCGCTCGGCATCTGCGCGACGCATCAGAGAGGCAAGTCTTGTGATGACGCAAGCAATCGCAGCGGCTTTTCCAAGGACTAGCGCACTGCCGCAAGAGAGGGGGGCGGCGGACGGAAGAAGGTTTTGCGTTGCAGGGCTAAGAGGGCCCGGGTCAAGGGGTCCATCCGCACCTCATAAAAGGGGCAGCTGGGGGGCTCGAAAAACTCTGGGTTGGCCTCCTTGCCCTTACTCTTCAGCAGGGCAGCCATCTGCCGGAATTTGGTCGGGAGGGTTGGTGGCCGGGCACGGTATGTGCAATGCGATAGCACTGGGCTTCACGAGATGCAGGCAATCATCATGGATGCAGTGCGCTGCTTGTTCAGTGGCCGCCAGAGGAGCAACGATGATGCCGCAATGGGCAGCTGAGATTGCTACACGCGCTGAGCAGCAGCAGGGTCACCTTGTCGGCCTGATAGATCCAGTGGAGGCCCATGGTGGCGGCATCAGCCACGATGCTGCCCAGCACCGCGCCCTGTGGGGGGGCGTGGTGAGGCCAGCCAGCACGCCAGCACAAGCGCAGTGTGTTGGTGGGTGAGCTGAGCCGTGATCCGTGCCACGGCTAGGAGAGCACCTGGGCTAGCTTAAGCCATCACAGCTGCAGTACCAATGCAAATGCTTTGCCTGGGCGGCCACGGGCACCACGCCAGCCGCGAAGCCCCAACTCTCTCAACTCACCTCGCGGCGGGCAAGCTCCGGCGCGCTGCTCATCGCGTCAGCTGGTGCGTTTGAGCCTTGAGCAATGGCACGGACGCTCTGAGGGGCGGGTCGCCGCAGCCGGAGCGTCCAGATAAGGCGCGCGCTGCTTTGGTAGCAGGAGCACAAGGCACGCTGCCCTTGCCGCTGCAGGCGACTCGCAGGATTGACTACTGCCTTCATGGACGCACCAGAGGACCCGATCGCCACTGCAGATATATAAGTATGCCAGTACACAGCGCCACTAGAACCAACAGGGGCGCCCGAGGTATCGCTGGGCTGCGACTAGATCGTAGAACGTGATCTCTGTGCTTGGGGGAGCTGGCCATCAATAAAAGTTTGTGATTGGATGTTCGACAATGAATGCGCCCTGCTCAACCATGTCGGCATTGGTCAGCATCGAGTGAGTAGGCGCCACAGGATTCATGCGCTTCCGATCGCGATGTCCAGCCGCATTCACATTTCCCTTTTCAACAGATGTGTGTTTCATAGCCTTCTTTCCTGGCCCATCACGCACCACGACGGTCACTGTGTGCACCAACTTGCGTGCTCGCTTCAAGCATGGCACCGACGCTATGCTTCGAGAATAGAACCGTAGGCGCAGTGATAGGGCGCACCGGGCTATCCAACAGCTTGCGCTCGCCGGTTGCTTACGGACGGTGGCGGAGCGGGCAGCGCCTGCGCATGCTCCCAGCGGCTGCAGCCACTGAGGAGCCTCGGACAGCAAGCGGTGTGGGTGCTAGCAGCAGCGGCAGGCTTAGCCCAACGTCTAGCCCAGCCACCAGCTACATCAAGCGCAGCGATGTCAGCCTCTTTGGTGCGCTCGTTAGGGGGCAGTGGGCACAAAAGGCTTCGGGCTGGCAGTGGACGTAGTGCATGAGCACGGCCACTTGATTGTCAATCATCAAATCACCTGCGTGGCTGACGAGGCAAGACGAATAATCTAGCATCTCAGATTGCCAGGTGCAGAGCCTGGAACGACCACTCCCTTGTTGCTGCGACACCTCATGCCTGCTGCCGCCCCTGCACCTGCTGTCACCCCACCACCAGACGCCCTCAAGTTCAACGGCCCCGCCCCAGAGATCATCAACGGCCGCTTGGCCATGCTGGGCATGTTCATCGTGGCACGCGCAGAAGCCGAGACGGGGCAGACAGCTGTCCAGCTGCTGCAGCACGGGCCGATATGGGAGTATGTGGCGGCAGCGCTGTGGGTGTACGCATCGATGGTGCCCATCCTCAAGGGCGCGCGGCATGAGGCCTTTGGCTCATTCACGCCGCAAGCCGAGTTCACCAACGGCCGCGCCGCCATGATTGGCTGGGCGGTGCTGCTGTGGCTGGAGAGCAAGGCAGGCGTGCCCTTTTTCTAGACTTATGCTGCTGTTGCTTGGCGATGTCGCACGCGCCTTCCGAAATTCCAAAATTCCCATCATTACACAGGTTCAAAACTTCTGCCGAATGGCTCTGTTGTAACTCAGCAGCTCAGAGCAGATTGCAACAGCTGGGAGAAGGCAGCGACACTCGAACTCTCGCACACGTGGTTTGTAAAAGCCACCACCCTGCACAAAGGAATTGTTACCCTCAAACACACGATGGCACACTCAAAGCTCTCTACTTAATATAGCCGTCGATGCGGTCCTGCCTCTCTGCTGCCTCGTTGGCCGCATTGACGCCCTTGAAGAACAGGAAGCCTGGGGGGGGGACGGGGAAGGAGGTTGATTAGCAGGCACGGCAGAGCACGAGACACGCCGAGACACGCCGCAACTTGCGGGCATGGCTGATTAACCACGTGGAGAACAGCACACTGCGGCCACACTATGCAAAGCTGAAGCCGCATGCTTGCAGGAAACACAGCTGCTGCAACATGTTGCGAGGCGAGCCTGCATCGCATGTGCGCCGCACCAGCGGTAGGCAGCCCAGTGATGGCAAAGAGGCCGAGGATGGGGGCCCAGAGGGGGCTGTCGGGCTGGACGACACCGAAGATCGCGTTGCGGTCAACGTACTCAAAGACCGACCCCACCTGGAAGGCAACAACGGCACAGCGATGTCAGCTTCAACAAGCAGGCTGCACCTGTTGGGACATACATTTGGGCTGACGCCGAGTGCCCGTTGCTGCATGACGCCCGGCTCCCTCACCCGCAGCTGGTGCCAGATGATAGCATCAATTCAAGAGTACACCGCGAGAGCCTACCGAGGCGATTGCTACCAGGCAGGACAGCACCAGGTAGAGGGGCCACGGCAGGTCCTTGCTGCCGGCCTCAGCCAGCTCGCGCTCCTTCTCGCGGCGCACCCACGACGGCAGGTCCTCGCCCGGCTGCTGCTGCGATCCCTGCAGTGTGGCAGTGACGTCGCATGTGCGCGCTTATGGCTCGCAGCAACCGCTGTTTGGACGGATGGCTGACGGGCACTGGGCGCCACGCAGAGCGCAGCGGCACGCGCCACACAGGCACCGCCACTGTCGAGCTGCAGCAGCGCTGCGCATCAGCAGAATGCTGGTATCACAGTCGGCTTTCTCACACCTTTGCCTTACCTCCTCGGCCTTGGTAGATGTCGATGGCTCTTGCTCAGCCCGGGCGAGCACGGAACGCTGCCCACGGGCCACGCTGGGCGCGAGCCGGGCATGCTGGCAACGTCTAGTCACGAGGCCCGATCCAAAGGCTCGGCTGATTCGCATGAGCTGCGCCATTGTGCACGAGACCTGCACTTCAAGCTCGCGGCGCCTGTGCAAGCTTACAAATGCTGTAGAGGCAGCACAAACACGTGATGCGAGGGGAAAAGATACTGATCGACTAAAAGGGCAACGGCACATTGTCCCTCGTACTTCCCATTGAACCATTTTTGCTGCAAAGCGCAAACTCAATTTTCGTAGGCTTGAAGTGTGCCTGAAAGTTGTATATAACCACCATTGTCTATTATCATACGTCGACTTCCAAGCGTCTTTGCTGCCGAGACCTCTATCCTGCACAGGCACGTTTCGACACTCGTCTGTAGTCCTGCGGAGCTGCATACCGTACATTGTAGAGAAGAGCGTATTTACTGCACTTAAAAGCGCCGCCAGCTGTACAGCTGAGACAGACCCCGCAAGTGCGGCGCAGAGCTCAGCTGCTGAGGGCACGCAGAAATGGCCCAGCAGTTTGTGCAGCTGAACGTGGGCGGCGTGCCCCACACCACGGCACGAGAGACACTCATGCGAGAGCCCAGCAGCCGCCTCGCGCTCATGGCACGCGGCATCCTGCCCTGTCCGACGGGGGCTGACGGGGCCATGTTCATCGATCGCAGCCCGCGCTTCTTCCAAATCAGTGAGCGGGCCCCCAAGAAGCGCCCGCGCGTGGTTGTGGCGGCTCGCCAAAGGGGATGTTTGCCCCTGCTGAAGCCAGGCCGCTGCTACTCCCAGCCCAATATCCACGCAATGCCGCCGAGCCACGTAACCTCTGCCCCCCGCCCACCTGCTGCCCCAAGTCCTCAATTACCTGCGGGACGGCTGGGTGTTGCTGCCCAAGATGGCGGACGAGCGCCGCGAGCTGCTGCAGGAGATCAGGCGCGTGGGGGTTGAGCTTGTTCAGGCCGGGTCACACCGCTTGCACCACAGCAGCGGCCGCACTGCAGCAGGCACAGCAGGGGGAGGGGGGCGCCGCCCCTGCATAGACCCCGCGGGCGAGCAGCGAGCTCAACGGAGGACACAGGTGGAGGGCTCCCTGTTTCAACCACCTGCCTGGCCACTTCCCGCTGCGGCTGGACCAACCCCAGGTATTACCAGCTCACAGGCTTTGAGGCCTGGTTGCGCGCCCAGGAGATCGCCTCGCCGGCGCCCCTGGACCGCGCGCCCTCGCCCGCCGCCTCGACCGCCTACAGCGGCTACAGCGGCAGCCCCTCCTACTCGACCGCCTTTGGGGGCTACGGCAGCCCCAGCATGGTGGCGGGGCCCCCGCCGCCGCTCTCCGCCGTCACGCGCGCCAGCATCTGGGACCCGGCGGGCGGCGCGCTCGGCGGCGCGGGCGAATCGCTGGCCGCCCCGTGCCGCAGCAGCGTGTTTGCTGGGGAGGCAACGGTTGGCAGGTGGGCTTCGGGAGATTGCTGCGGGACGCCAAGGCAGCTGTGTGCTGTTCTGTCCTGCAGCTGCACAGGGGCTTCCAGCCTGGATTGCTGCCGCAGCAGCGTCCGTGGCGATTGCCTGCGCTCAACCTTGTTAAGCGGTCACAGTTGCGCGCCCGCCCCCCGCGCAGGTTGAGCTTCGTGCCGCCGCTGCCGGGTCATGGGCCGGCATACAGCAGCGTTGGGGTTCTGTCGGCGACGGCGCCCGTGAGGGCCAGCTCCATGTATCACGCGGTAAGGGGCTGCTTTTTCTCCTGTGTTGAGGACCCCAGCCACCTGAGCGAGCGCATACAGACTCTTGCGAATCTGCTAGGGTCCCCACAGGTGCCAGCTGCCGTTCGTCCCAGCTCACCGCCCCCATCCCACCCCCGCCATCCCGCAGTCCCTTCCCATGCCCCCGGCACCCACCAACTCGCTGGTGCGCGCGGCGTCGGCGTCCGCGGCGCAGCCGGAGCTGGGCGCAGCCAAGTTCGTGCCCCAGCCCCTGGTGAGCTCGGCACGCCTCAGTTCCCCTGGGTCTGTCCCCGTCTGACCCAGCGCCGCAGCTCTGGCCCGAGTCCCGCCCAAAACCCCGATTGCACGACAACACGTTTATGCGCCCACGGGATTGCGTGTAGGACCCGGGGGCTTTCAGGTGGACGAGCAAGTACCTGCAGGGCAACGACCGCATGCGCGACGTCGTGACGACCCTGCTGGAGCTGGCCTTCATGCCGCCCCACCGCGCCCTGCACACGGGTGCGCCCCGGCCGGCCGCCTCGCCGGCGGTGCGTGCGCGTGCCTGTGCCCCGTGTGCCGGCAAATCGTCTGTGATTTGGGCTGGCATGCGGACAGACATTTTCTTGGTCCCCGCATACCTTGGCCAACTTTGGGTCATCTGTGTGTCGCAGCTTTGCCTACATTCATACTTGGGCACACATGCCTCCACGCATGCAAGCATGGGCGCGCGTAATGGGCGCGCGCACCCACCCACCTACACAACCAACCAACTACTCCCTCGCACACATCACCCATCAACTGTTTTGTGCAGGCAAGGTTTCGATTACTATTGCCAGCGAGTGCACCCACGACCGCATGATGGCGCTGCTGGGCAGCACCATGAGCGAGGGCAGCAGCTTGAGGGACAAGCTGCAGGTGCGCTGAGGTGGCGGACAGTGCATGCGCCAAAGCGGGGTTGGATATTGCCAGCCGTAGTGCACACCGGACAAGCTCGATTGCGACTTATCTATCGCGTGATCCCCTTGTATTGCATCACATGTATGCCGCTTCGTGCCTCTGTTTTTGCATCCACCAACCAGCCCCTTGGCAAGCCAAGCTCTTTGCTTGCCTCCCACGCGCCGTTGCCGCCGCTGACATGCCTGTTGCGTGCACGGGGGTGCGCAGGTGATCAGTGTCAAGGGCTCCAGCGGCTGGGCCTTTGAGATGGCGCTGCGGCCCGGCAGCGAGCTGGCGCTGTTTGAAAAGTACTCTGTGGCGGAGTATGTCCAGGTGGGGGTGTAGGCATTGCTGTCATATGCAGGTCACGGCTGCATGTCGGCGGAGCTTGCGATGCACCTGGGCGGCCAGGCATAGGTAGCCAAGCGACGCGCCTCCGGGGGCGCAAACCGTCATCAAGGCGTGACGCCTTAGGCTAGGTAGTTTTTGTATGCAGGCGTCCGACGACCATCTCCTTCGTTACACTGGACAATAAGCTGACTAACGATCCATCAGCAACACCCAACCAGCGCCTCCGAAAGGGCTCTCATGTACTTCACGCAACTCATCAACCCGCAGGACAATTGGTTTGTGCTGGCCGCTATTCTCAAGGACGAGTGAGCTTTGCACAGGGATAGGCTTCATGCAATATGGGGGTTTGTAGCAGCCATCATTATATTTTGTTGAGGGGACATATTTCGTACCCCTTTTGAGACAGCGGCACACTGAGGCCTGACACCTACCCTTCTGCCGCAGGTATGACATCAGAATCGAGGAGGACACCACCAACAGGCCCACTTGCGCCGCCTGCCGCCGCAGCAACGTCAGCCTCACACTGGAGAGGCATTTCTGATTAGCTGAGGCTCATTTGATGCAGCTTGTTGGCAGATTATTATGATATTCGCAGCTATTGCGGCACAGTGGCGTGGTAGTGCAGTGCCTGTCAACAACCTCAGACTGAACATTGCGATTGCAGCTGTGTTTCCAAGAATGTACAATACAAGTAACGCTGTAATGCAGGTTTGGGTTGCCATTTGCGACGGATGAATACGGCAGAGCAGGCCCTGCACCAGCAGGTGTGCGCATGGCGGTTTTCGGTGGGAATGGGGAATGCACGTAACATTGACTCGAGTACAGGTTACGACGGATTCGTGATACATATAACGTTATACGATACCGTTACCGTACCGTGTTTCTCGGAGCGTGGTATGGGGCGTGGCTGCTCCTGCGATGGCGCCAAAAGCTAAAGGACGGGGTCGGTTGACGAGGAGTTGTTGCGGTGCGACATCGCTCCTGTATTGACATGTGAAGCAAGATTTCAGGAGATGATACGAAAACATATACTACCGTGTTGTAACGGAAAATCTTGGGCCTTGATCTACGTAAGCGCTTGAGACGGGACTCACGTCTCACAGAGCCTTGGAATGACAGTGAACAGGTGTGAGGTCATACAGCAGGCATGTTGGACCCGGCAGAGCACCAGGATGTTTGGCTCGCAGAACGCAATGCCGCGGCCGTCGCCGCACCCGCAAGCGCCGGTGTCCCCAACCTTCTGCACTCTCTACATTATCGCATCCCAGCGCTAACAGATGGCTTCTGCCCATCCAGAGGGCTGCAAATGCGAGCGTAGCAGCTGCTGCGATGGCTGGCGGCGCACTCCTTGTGGCACTGGCGAGGCCTTGCTGCAAGGCAGCAGCTGCGGCACCTGAGAGTGCCGGCCCAATCGCAAGGCCTGAGCACGTCTCACCGGGCTATGCACATCCAGGACACCAGATTCAGGCTGGCGAGGAGACGGAGGCCGTGCTCGCCAGTGGCGGTCAGGGGGCGCAGGAGTGCCGAGCGGCGGCAGCCGGCGAGGTGGCCCAGCAGCTGGAGGCGGAACAGGCCGAGTTGGCGGCTGACTTCAAGCAGCTGGGCACTGTGCCGGCAGGAAGGCAGAGGCAGAGGGAAACCGCTGCTGCAAGTGAGGCCAATCGTTTGAGGGAGGAGCATGCCGAAGCGGTGCGCCGCCAGCAGCTGGTGCACGATGAGCGGGCGAGGATTGAGGCGGAGATCAGGCAGCTGAACGAGCAGGCCGCGGCAGCGCGGGGCGACCTGAAACTACTTCTAGCAGCAGCCGAGGCAGCGCACGTGCGCGCGACGAGGGCGCAGCAATTCGCCGCAGACTGCGAGGCCGCAATGGAGCTTGAGGCTGCGGCGGCCATTGAGGAGGCGGCCGCTTTCGGCCGCGCGCGTGCGGCTTGGGCTGAGCAGCGCGCCAGGGTGTTCCCCTCAGAGCAGCATGCGGCGGCGTCGGCGGTGGTGGCGGCATCTGGCCGCCTGCAGGCCGTCCAGCAGGAACAGCACCAGGCTCTGATGAACCAGCTCGAGGCCATGGAGGCGTCGCTGGCGACTGCATGCAGCCAGGCGGCGGCGGCGGGAGCGCAGGCGGGTGTGGCCGCTGCCTCGCAGGCAGATGCGTGCGCGCAGCAGCAGGACACGGGTGCCCCTCACCCACCAGGCACGCACGTGCCCATCGGCGGTGGGCACGACGGTTTCTTGGTTGAGAACGACAGGCACGCTCGCATCCTCCTGCGTGGCGCGTCACGCCTGGCGCACATGGCGTGGGTTGCCAGCCTAGGGCATGTGGTGAGCCGCGGGTTGCCCTCCCCTGCACAGGAGATCGAGGACGTCAGCTCACTGCATCCTTGAGTGCTACGCACAGCTGCCCTTTCAGGCTGGTGCACACGGGTGCGACGGCATTTCTTACTGACTGCTGCCAAGCACCATCTCTCGCTGCTTCCTCGCAATTTCTCCCTGCCGGCCTTGTGGCTGCTCCCTCACACAGCCACTGGAGGACAAGGCCACCGTGCGCTCCGCTGAGGAGCAGGGCTGCAGGACAGGCGTGACGGGCTACACCATCAGGGTGGAGGCGGGGGGAGAGCTCAAGGTGTGGCGGCACCCCCTGGGGGCCCGCTCGGTGTGTCAGAGCTGCGAGGGCCGGGACCCAAACGAGGTGCTGCTGGGCGCCTGCAATCGTCCTTTTGCCAGGTCGTATTCCCGGCTCACGCTTGGTCCTGCATTGCAGGTGTGGGTCGACAAGGACCCGGGCAAACTTGGGCAGAAGCTGGTCAACACAGGCCACAAGAGGTGCCTCTGGTCGCACGACCACGTGCTCCAGGCCATCTCGAACCGCGTCACGGCGCGGCAGGGCGTGACGCAGGGCCTGATGAATCCCAAGGGGGAGCTGGACAAAGCGCTGCAGGTGTGCAAGGCTTGCGCAGGCAGCTGCAGGAGGCGACTCTTGCCTTGCTCACCCTTGTCTTTTTCAAACCCACCCGCGCCCTGTGCCTCCACCGATCAGCTTGACTTGATGCGGGGTGAGGGGTTAAAAGAGTGGAGGGTGCGCAAGGCCCTCGCTGTCGGCTGCTAGTGGTTAATGAGCAGCGGCGAGGTGGTTGGTCTGATTTCAAGGTATCACTGCAACCTCCTGCAGGTGTGAGGCTCCTGCACAGAAAATGCATGTGCCCCGCATATTGGCGGCATCCTCGCTCCCCGACACTGCATTCCTGATGCCGACGTGCCTTAAACCACCCCGCGGCACTGCTGATGCACCTGCCTGCCAGGCCATGCTGGAGAGCGTCAAGGGCGCGTGGGAGGCAGAGAGCAAGGCGTGCCAGGGGGTGGAGGACCTCATCAAAAGGCAGCGAGAGGACGCCAAGAGCGTCGCGAGGGAGGCGGCCAAAGCAGCAGCTTCCGCCGCGGCTGCTGCGCCATCCGTCAGCGGCATCAGCGGCAGTCGCTTGGAACGGTGGCTGCGAGGGCCGTGACACGGTGCTGGGGCAGGATCGGGCTGCGTGGCAAGTTGCGGCGCGGTCACGCCGTGAGCGGCAAAGAGAGAGTCGCAGAGCGAGATCGGCTGCGTGGAGCAGAAACAAGCTAGCTTGTGTTTGGGGGGTAGGCAGAGGCCAGCATTTCACCAGGGCAACAGCATCGATAGCGTATCACAAGGGCACGGGTGCAAACAGCCATTTCAGACTGTGACAGGCGTGAGCTGGATTGTGTGCCAGGTGCAAACTGCCAGTCCCCACCTGGAGACGGACCGACTGCTCCACCCCAGCTCAGCCCTGTCATGTCACATGTGTCCCGCAGATTGCTAGGTCAGGGGTGCTGCAAGTTGCCGGTGCGGGGCCCTACAGTCGCATTTGATACTGCTGAAGTGGTTTTACCCAAGGGTTCAGAAGCCTCTGAGAATGCCAAGTTGACCCTGGAAAGAAGTCAACTTGAGAGATCACACACACACGCACACACACACACACACACATGCAGTCATGCATTGCGGCATGCATCAGATGCCAAGCTGTTCTGCACAGCTTGCCTGCCGGTGGGAGAGACAGCCGGCACTAGGCGCAGGGGTACGACTCACGGCG